TCATGGAATCATACAACCACTTACCACAGAGTAACAATAAAATAATAATATTTATAGCTTATAACATTGATTAAATATACATCATGCTATTATTAGTTTTTTCCAATGGCATTATCAATGCATTTTATCACACACACACACACACACACACACACACACACACACACACACACACACACACACACACACACACACACACACACACACACACACACACACACACACACACACACACACACACATGTAACTTATCAGTTAATATAACCATAGATTAAATTAAGATTCAAAACTAAAAAAAAAATAAAAGTTAATAAAAACCAGTCACAAAGTCTAAATATAACACTAAAATAATCAACACACATTTTCATTTTGTACTGCACTATTCCGATTTCGTACTGCACTAACAGTGTCGTACTGCACACTATTTTAGGCCGTGTTCTATATAATTTCTAGGTATATAATTGGTATATTAATATAATCTTAAAATTCAACCTTTTTAGTCTACAATTATTTTGTAACGCAACGTCGCACAGTGTTTACAAATCGAAAATAGCTGGAATAAAGTCTATTAAAAAAATATTGTTTTTATATTTAAATTATTGCAACTTTTAAGTATATTACTATTGTTGAATAATGTATTACAAAAAATTTTCAAAAAAATAAAATTCTCATTGATAAAATCACTATTTTAAGTAGAAAAAGAACGTAATTCAGAAAATGTTTAATAAATTACCACAGTTTGTGTATCATTAATAAGTAAATTCTAATACCATGATTCTGAACAAAGTTGGTATAGGCAGCAGTGGCATACGCAGGATTTTTCAATGGGGGGGGGGGGGCTTGAAAATTAGTTAGGTACAATTTTATTTTTATTTAGTCTAGTCTAATAATATTTGAGGTAATTTAAAATGTTTGTAACTTTTCAACTTTTCTGGTAGAAAAAATGCTATGATCATAAGCTTCGATGTCCAATGTATGTTTTTGGAAGCAAATTTGATCTAGTTGGGGTGACTGGGTACAATTGTACCCATTTTCATAAAATTATTTATTTCTGCCAAAATTCAAAATTTTTTGATTCGTTTACACTTTCAATTAGTAAAGTAAGTTGTTGTCTTTCAAAATATGTGTGTATTGAATCTTTATTTTCAAATGATGTTGAATAAATATAAATATAGAAAAAAAAAATATGTTACAATTGTACCCGATACAGGGTACAATTGTAACACCACTAGGAACGAAAGTAACATACATGTTTTTTAATTTTTATATTATTATAAAACATATAAAATATAACAGTTACATTTAAATAAAATAAAACATAACTTTGGTAAACAGATTATCTTAAATAGTATCATAATTTTTGACTTTTAAATTGTTAAAACAATTATAGCATAATAACCTTTAATTAAAATAAAATATAACTTTGGTAAACAGATTATCTCAAATAATAAATAGTTACATAACTTTTTACTTTTAAATTATTAAATATGTATAACATAATATGACTTTTAGGAGGTCGAAATTGAAAATACTCAGTGCTTTTAAAAATATTTGGAGAAAAAAAAATGAAAATGTATTAAAATTGTTTGGTAACCAGCTTGATTATACCCGGTATGCAAAAATCTGTACTATAGAAGTCACATAGTTATCACAATGGTACTCGTGAAGTTGATTATAAATGCCTATCTACATCTCTGAGATGTTATATGGATGCTAAACGCCAGGTTGAGTGATGTTGAAAATGTAACATCACAACTGTGACTACTTTGTAATATCTAAATGTGACTTCTGTCAGTGATGTATAATACTGTTAAATATGCTTCGCATAGTACTCAAATAGGTTAATCACAAGGATATAAAATATTAACTTCTCAGTATTATCGTAAATGAACATCATATCGATATTTTAATCCAGTTCACACCATCGATAATTTTTTTTAAATATATCTTACCTTTTGGGTATGTATTAAGTATAATATTAAGTATTTTCTTAAAAATAAATAGTATACTAATGTATGAAAGGAACAAAAATACTCAATAACTAAATAAAATATACAAACATTAAAAACAATTTTTTTTTTTTTATTGAAAACAAAACCTGAATAAGTGAAAATATTTTTACATTGATAATTAATTTAACAAAACAGCTGATTTTTGTATTATTTTTTAACAGTACAATATTAATTATTAATTAATTATTTTATAATAATTATGCCTGAAATATTTAAAGCATTATTAACTATTAAGAACCATTCATATTAAAATAAATATTAATTACATGCAATCATAGGCACTAATAGCGTTTGGGATTTTTTTTTTTTTTTTTTTTAGGGGGGGGGGGGGGCTAAAGCCTTACTTTGATAATATTGAATAAGCTTAAAACAAAATGTAGGAAATGTTTTGGGGGGCTATGGACATTTTTGGTAGGGCTTAGCTCCTAAAGTCCCCCCTCCTATTTGCGCCTATGCATATGCTATTAACACTATAATACAGTTGATGTATAGGATGGATATACGAGGTAAAAAATATTAATTTTAATTTAAAAATGTATATTAACCTTTTCAGTGCCCATGACTCAGAAACTCCAAACCGGTATTAAAACATTTCCTACAGTTAGCAAGAGTTTGCAAGTCCATTATCAGAGTTTGCAAGTAAGTTCATTGGCCAGGGCGAGCTTTCAAAGTTTTGTGCCCGGCCCTTCAAAGTCAACCCTGAAACTCCAAACCGGTATTAAAACATTTCCTACAGTTAGTAAGAGTTTGCAAGTCCATTATCAGAGTTTGCAAGTAAGTTATTCGGCCAGGGCGAGCTTTCAAAGTTTTGCGCCTGGTCGTTCAAAAACACAGAAACTCTAAACTGGTTTTAAAATATAAACTAACGGTTTGTACCTATGCGTATGAGGGGTCGCTGTAAATTGCATCCCATTCTTTATTTTTTATGCAAATTGCAAAGTTTACTATAAACAATGAAATTTGTCCAGTTCAACATATTGGTGAAACTATATTTGATGAGAAAAATACAACAGGTGCTCTATTACCATTAAAATTCCAGTTTCAAAAATATTTTGAACAAGGTGACAATTTCAAAAAACAGTTTACACGATTAAATTTATATAAAACCAATGAATGTACAACTATGGACAATTTTGTTCAAGGAACTCATTTGAAACAGAAGGTCTCTCAGTATAGTAACGACAAAATTATAATACCTTTTTTTTTGTACATGGATGAATTTGAAATTAATAATCCATTATTATCTCATTCAACATTTCAATCCGTTTCAGCTGTATATTATAGCTTTCTATTAGCGGAAAATAGTTCTAAATTAACAAATATCTTTTTAGCTGCATTAGTAAAACATGTGGATCTTTCAACTTTTGGCAATGACAAATATTTAGAAAGTTTAGTTAACGAAATCAATATACTCGAAAGTGAAGGTGTTAGCATTTCAACAGAAGATGGATATTTCCATGTACATTTTGTTTTAGGAATAATTCTAGGAGATAATTTAGGCTTAAACAGTTTATTGGAGTTCAGTAAATCTTTCTCTGCAAATTTCTTCTGCCGCTTCTGTAAAGTTCATAAAACAGTAACTAAATTAATGCATGAAGAAGACTTATCTGCTATGCGTAATGTTCACAACTATTCTGTAGATGTTGCCAGCTCAAATTTCATAGAAACTGGAATTTATAAAGAGTCGTTGTTGAATCGAGTAACTCATTTTCACGTTCCTCAAAATTTTTGTATAGATATCATGCATGACTTGTATGAAGGTATTTGTCATTATGATATATGTCATATACTTACACACTTTATTGATACAGCAAAATTATTTTCATTAGAAACTCTTAATAACCGAAAAATGAATTTTAACTATGGACCAATAGAGGTAGGTAATATTTCACCTCCTATAAAAATTTTTCATTTAAAAAAAAGACATTTGAAAATGTCAGCTAGAGAAGTCATGACTTTTGTTCATTTTCTTCCTCTTATGATAGGAGACTTAATACCGGAGAATGATGAGTTTTGGGCACTTTTCCTTATATTGCTTCAAATTATAGACATTCTTTTATCATACACATTTACTGATCTTGCAATTTCTCATCTTAAACAATTAATTTCACAGCATAACTCTATGTATGTTACACTTTTTAACGACAGCCTAAAACCAAAACATCACTTTTTAGTACACTATCCAACAATAATAAAACATTCAGGTCCTCCTAGGCATTACTGGTGTTTTCGCTATGAGGCCAAACACAAGGAATTGAAAATGTATGCTAGAGTAACAACTTCTAGAAAAAATATAACGTTGACATTAGCTAAAAAATACCAGCTTAAATTTGCTCAAAATTTAATGGAAACAGATAAAAACATTATTTTTAAAGATAAACATAAGATTATAAGTAATTACACTGAAACTATTAACAGTAAACTTAATCTAACTTCATCCCAGTACAGTCGTTATACTGAGTTAAAATTTAATGGCATTTTATATAAAGAAGGATATTATCTAACCAAAAATTGTAATGAATCATGTTTATTTAAAATCAGTGAAATTATATTTATTAATCAACCAGATATTATGGTTTATATTTTGGCTACCGAAATAAGATTGAACGAATTTAGTTCACATTATGAATCTTTTAATGTGAGTAGTAGTGAAGAAGTGATAAATTGTTGTTTTATATGTGGTGTTAATGAATTTGATGGACCTCCCATAAATGTCACAACCATGCCATCCGGTAAAAAAATGATACGGTTAAAACAGTTTTATTAATTTGATAAGCTTTAATATTATTTTAATTTTCTCATAAAACATTTTTATTGTCTAATTGTGTATGTATATTTATTTTTTATTGTCAACTTATTGATTATGTGGCTATTTTTCCTATTTAAAAACTGATTTAATACTTTTTTGTAAATTTTGGTTTTAATTTCAGATTTGTAATGTAATTTTTCATTTAATACTTGGTACAATAACTTAAGTAACTAATCAATATGTCCGATTATACTCCTAATGGGTCATATTTAAATATACAACAATCTTGTTCTGTAAGTAGTTATAATAAATTAAACATTTTAAGACTACAATATAAGATTTTATAATTTCAAACTAGACTTTATTGTTCACTATTTTATCAAAATTCATTAGGCATCTCTTGGACTGCATGAAACGTTTGATGATGATTTATTTACTAGTACTCCAGTTAGTGGAAGTACTGTCAGTGGTGTATTAGATTATAATTACCCAGTGGAAGATTTGCCAAGAATGCAACAATTATTCGATTCATGGGGATTAAAATGTGTCTATCAAACATGTGTTGGTAGGAAAATTGCTATAAACTATGATTTATAATAATAAATTGTAATGATAATTATTATTAATATTCTATATTAGGTTAAATTCTTGATCGCTGTTTCTTATTTTTCCTATTTTTTACATAAAATGGATTATTAACTAATGATTTATAGTAATTTATTCTATGTTGCTTATTTATGTAGATCAACTTATAGATATGACAACTCTTTCTCGCATGAAAAGTGAGCAGGTTTACAGACTTTTAAACAATTTTCCATATGGAATAATATTTAAGTTTGAAGAAGAACCAGAACAATGGCAAAAGAACATGAATATTTTAAATAATTGTCAAAATACAAACTCAAATGAAATGTCTTTAAACAAATCAAATGCAGAAACTCTTCCAAAACCTCATAAATCATGTCATAATTTAAGAGTCGACGAAGTCCTCACTTCATCTACTCAAGGTTCCCTGATACTAGATTATTTTAAAACACACAACAAACTGAACGATGGTATACGGGCAACATTAGTAGACATACTTATTGCACAAGTACTGTCCCAACAAATACCTATGTCTGTAAGTTTGGCAGAATCACTAGCAAACCAAATTGTTGCTATGTTTAAAACGGAAGTTAAGGTAATTTGATTGATTCATTCTAGTATAAGTGTAATACTAATAACTAATAACTAAGATTAGCTTAGACTAATAACTATGAAACCTACAGGATACATATTTCATGAAAATTGGTTGTAACAAAAATCCTAAAGGAAAATTGTACTCCAAGTATTACAACTCTGTAAGAAATATGAAAAATACTGGATTAATACCTACAACAATCATTAAAAACAAAATAATCACCGACAAAACACAGAAAAACGGCTGGTTCGAAAAAGAATTTGGTAAATTGTTAATATGTACTACCTATTTATCTATAAAAACTTACTTTATTTATATTAGTTATAATTATTTACAGTATCTGAAAGTGAAATAGATTCTATACTAGATGTATTGAAATACAATGACACTACATTCCCAGAACTAGAATCGAATTGGAAAGCTACTGTAAATTATAGATTGAATGATATTAAGAATTCTGGATCGACTACAGACATTTTAAAGAATTGGAAACAATATAAAGTTCCTTATGGCCATAAATTGGTAAGGAATTGAAATTTTAAATTGTGCGTTATAGATATATTACATTCCATTATATATAAAATAATTTTTTAGATTGATATTGATTACAATGTTCTATTTCCTAATAATATTAATATATATCAAGACTTCAAGGACAAATCAGATAAAGTTTTTAAATTATTTGATGAAAAAATCAAAGATTTAAACAGCCGAAAAATATTGGACACCTTAAAAAATACAAATGAAATGAATATTAATGATATTAAGATATATAATTAAACTTCTAATAACAATAATGCATTTTTATTTACAAAAAAATTGTTTATAGATGTCAAAAATTGTGTATTGGTATATTTGCTGCATGCTCTTTTTGCTCCCACTTCCAGAAAACTTACCAGAGATGAACAAGGAAGAAAGAATCTAATCAAATAAAATATTCAATTAAAGATTCACAAGACAGTTTAATTATTTGGTGAATCAGTTGATGTAATGCAGCAACACTTAGAGGAACTTAAAAGTCGTGGGGATCCTATCCAACCATTCATTTTAGTTGTAGGAACTATTTTTCATCCTAAAGAAATTTTAGTATATTTTGACACAATTATGTATAAAGTGCATTCTATACTAAGGGCTATAGAAGTATGTTACAAAATTTTCCACTTATTCAACTTGGAATACCCAAGTCAATCATCAATCGTTTGGTTATTCATACAAAAATTCTTTTTTGGTGTAACATCTAAATATGATACACCTCACCCAAAATTAGTTCAAGTTTTATATGATTTAAAAAATTAATAATTTTTGTATTTTTCCTATAATAATATTTTTAAAAACTTAATTAAGTATCATGTCTTCTTAAGCTGAATATTTTTTTATTACCTATTTATACTGAAAAGGAATCAGATTTAAAATATATAAAATATATAAACTAACTGATTAAGTTATAAAATATATAACTACCTATATTACATTTTTTTTTTTTTTTTTACTACATTAATATTATAATATAATTAAATTTGTCTTTATAATTTATATTTTTTTTTATTTTATTAGTATATTAATTAACTGATTATATTATAAATATAACTATACTACATTTGTTTTTTCACTGAATTAGTATTATATTATAATACTTACTAATAAACTGATAAAGTATAGATTTGTTTTTTATATATAAACCTAACGGCTAATAGCATATTACAAAATTTATTAAATACCTATATGTATAAGTATTCAGTAACTAGAGTTAAAATGTTGATTGTTTTATGTAATAAATACAATTTAAACACTTAAAAAATATATACTAACTCTTTTTATTTAACCGATAAAACAAATATTTTCACAAGATAATTGTCATTTTAATAAGAATATTTATCATTCAAATTATATTTCAAAATATGATTTTAATAATGCTACTCATGAATACAACAATTTTGAGTTGTTAGTTCAAAAATTAACATTATTATTTAAACAATTACATTGTTGTTGGTTAGTATTAATCATGATTATGATGATAAGAATATTCTCACTATTACAAGAGTTATATTTTCATTTGAAAGTAGTAGTTATTAATTCAACAAGACCATTGTTAATAATATAAGACTTATATTCGGAATAATATTATGGTATTAACAATTAAACATTTGTTGGTTTGACAAATATCTTATGGGTTGAATAGTGACAAGATATTTGTCAAACCAACATAGTTTTTTTTTAATATGATTAGGATTTTTCTTTCAGTGTAGTCCGTAAGACAAAATTATACGTAGATATTACCATTTATTCCAAAAACATTACACTTGGGCAAGTACACTCAAAAAGTACACGTACGCGTAAATATTTTTTATTCAAGGTTAAATACTTAAATCATCCAAAAACACTCTAATAAATTATGGTTCTTTTATTAGTACTAAAATACTCACTGATTGTCATACTTCACTTTATAAAAACTAAAAAATTAAATTGTACAAAGGTACTAAGCTACAAACCCGTTTTAGCAAAAATGGAAAAATAAATAAAAATAGCAGTGTTAAAAAATACAAAATAAAAACAGAATACCAATGCATATAAAACTAGTGCTGAAAGAAATATAATGATAAAAAAAAAATATCCTTTTAAATCAAGTGTTTTAAACATGTTTAAATTAAATTTTTATGTACATTAAAATGTGAGGAATAATATTTTTGACAGATTCTTTATTTTTTATTTTTTCAATCTTCAGCTGTAGATCATTGTGCAGTTCCCAATTGCCATTAAATCTCCTTACATATGTCACGTAATGTCCAAAGGTATAGTGAATGATTGATATTAATACGTACCTATTAAGATCAAGTATGTTTATGATGATTTCTGTGTACAGTTAAATAAAGTTAAATGTATTTCATAATGGGTATACGTGCATTACAATTATCATTAATCAATAACCAATTATGTTAAAATAAAATTAAAAATCAAAACTTCACATAATTCATTACATACTCATCGCATAAAAAAAAATTGCATGATCAATTAACTTTTTTTAAAAAATATTTTTCAAACCTATTTAAACTTTAGAAAGTTCATATCTTAAGTATTTTAATAATTTTTAAGTCAAATCTTTAATATTTAGAAGAATATAAGAATTTAATGATTCTTGCCAAATCCGATAAATTCCGTAATTACTGCAAAGATTAGTAAATTGATCATCATTGCCCAACTGATTGTGAAAATAGTTAACATGGTAGCTCAATTTATTACAAAAATAAATTTGAACTAGACTTCCTTACCAGTCGTCTACTGTAGTTAATCTTTGGACATTTTTACTAGTACTTATTTTACTTAAAAAAATTATGATGTTAAAGTTAATGTTGTGCCTATAGGTACAAGTTATTGTTATTGTACAGTAGTATCAGGTAGGAAGGTACCACTAATTAATTATTCATCAAATTGCAAAATGAACGCAACTCTTTTGAAGAAGTGAAAGAGCCGAAAGATATGTTGTGATATGAATGATTGAAATAATGATAAACCTACAAAATATATTTATCTTCATCTTTTATTAATATGTAGTGATTGATATAAAAAAAACCGGTTGATAATATTTGATTTTGTTATGAAAAATTGTATGTATAAAATATATTAATAGAATGTTTTTAGATTCATAAATCAAAGTAAATCTTACCTTAACTTTTCAATCTCAATATCTTCTGGAAAATCATCTATTTTATAGCCATCTTTATGGCAAAGTGCATCTGCTTCGATGAAAATTGCATTTCCTAATTCTCTATGCGTTTGAATAAGTCCTGTGCAGCTTAGGTTTTTACATTGAGTAACTTTCATTTTCGTATACTGCAAAATAATACCTTTTAAGTTTGAAAACCCATTATCTTTTTTTAAAATCAATGTTGGTGATGGCTGTGTTTTTTCTTTTTCAATACAATTTTTAGTACAAATTGTATACTGCGTTGCACTTGGGTCGGTCTTAAAAAAGTCATAGACAATTTTGGATACATTACATTCTGCATTAATGTGTCTAATAGTTGGTATGTTGGATTCAACTTCAAAATGCTGCATTATTAGTTCTAATCTCTGACGGTATGTTACTCTGCTTGAGCCGTTCAAAGCAATTTCTTTCGCCATGCCTAACATTGCGTTTTTAGAATTATCAACATAGATTCTAAAGGTTTCATAATCTATATATGCAACACATATTCCAACTAATGTAGCATCAAATGGACACGTATTGCTTAAGATATATACATTTTTCTTAAATTTGCAAGTGGCTGATATATTTCCATTTAATATTAAGGAATTTAGGTGAGACCTCATCCGAGACGTGTTCAATATCCTGTCAATTTCGGGAAAATTATCCATATATTTAGTTGAACGTAATTTTTTTTTGGATTTAGGAACATAAGTATTCTGAAGTGGACCAATTTTATCCGTTTTAAGACCTCCCCACGTTTCTTCTTCATCAACAGTTGCTATGCTTATATTTGAATCGTTTTCATCAGGGTCACTTTTTTCTGTAAATTGTTAATGTAATGCATTATTGGAATTATTTTAGTAACGTTTTATAGGGAATTGGCTTTTATTAAAATACTTTATATTATAAAAAAAGGGGGTCAAGTGAATGTCGCTCCGCTGTATAGTAGGTTTTAAGTAGTTCACTGTATAATTGATGGTATTAAATTTGAATTCAATGATATAATATCACTGACTACGAAATAAATTATTATGGTTAGGTACTGAAAAATTGTTAGCATAATAATGTACTACATACCAGTGTCTGATTTACAAAGCGGACTGATTTCTCTTTTTGATTTTGAAGACAACATATTCCATTCAATATGATCAGAGCCACTAGAATATAAAGACCGCGATCCTCTTTCTAAACTACTATGTTTCTCAGGTGACGGGTCAAAGAGTTCTGTCAAAACAAATATTTTAAAGTGATGTTATTTTAACAAATTATTATGATTAGGTACTGAAAAATGTTTAGCATTATAATTTACTACGTACCAGTGTCTGATTTACATATTGGACTAATATCTGTTTTTGATTTCAATGACAATATATTAGTTTCAATTGTATAATTAGAGCCACTAGAAGATAATGACTGCGATCTTCTTTCTAAGTTACTAAGTTTCTCAGTTGATGGCTCGATGAGTTCTGTCAAAAAAAATGTTTAAAACGATAATAGTATTATTACATTGTGGATTCTCAAAAATGAATATGTCATGTTAAAACAATAAAATTTACCTGTAGATTTGACATCGACTTGAATACTTCTTGCGATTTTCATCATTTGATCAATGTTAATTAAATGTGTGGAAATGAATCGGTCGATGGATAGAAGAGAAGATTTTTGTGATAGAATATTATTTTTTAATTCAGCAAAATTTCCTTCAACTGAAGCAGATGTTGCAGTTTCATATGGAGACTTGAAACTGGCCATCATTACGTTTGACCATAATGGAAATTCTTTTGAAATCCGTAAAAGTTGATTTGCAAATTCGGGAACATAGAATGGGCTCAATTTTTCTCCTTTTTGAGATGAATTAACAATACTTTTGTTTTCAATCTTGTCCAAAAAATGTTTTATTGTGTTGGAACTAACATTATCTTCATCGTCTGATAAGTAACTGTTGTCTATTTCATCGTTAGACATGTAATCATCTTCATTTGGAAAATAACTGTCATCAACTAAACATTGTTCATCATCCATTGGCACAGTAGGGAAACCTTTAATTTTATTTAATAATTTGTTACGTGCAATTTCACTTGGACAATCCGTATTGGATGATAAACATCTACCTTCAGTGTCACTGTAACAAACTGTTAATATGTCCATAAGAATGTCTTCAAACTCCGATAAAGACGTGGCTTTAATTAATAATCTAGTACATCTGACGTAAAATTCTTTCAATCGAATTGTTCTTTTACCTTGCCAGCACTTCCATCTACAAACTAGTTTAATCAAATGAGCAATATCAATTCTTACATAACAAAATAGTTTCTCAGATTTCACACTATTATGTTTCTGCATTACCTTAAAGCACTTATTTACATACTCATGTAATGGTATTCCGTTACAAAATGCTCTAGTTATGCCTCCTAGTAACGCTTTTGAATAATCACAAACAGCTTCCTGAGGTATTGGAACCCCATCTTTTAACCACTGCGCCAACCAATAATATATAGTTAATGTGTCCTGTTTTTCGCTGAGCATTTGTGTAACAGGAACTTGATATTGTGAGTTTGAAACAACAGCTTCATACAAGAATATATGACTTGACTTAATATTTTGTTTTGTTCTTACAATTTTTTTAACCAAGCTTCCTGTAGCATCGATAGCTAGTCTGCAATACGATTTTTGTAAATGTTTATATACAACCAACTGATATGGAGTCCAGTAGTGAATAAATATCTTATCAGCACTAACCGTATGGATTGAACCACTAAATTTCCCATGCTTTAACTCAATAAGGGATTTGATCGGGCACTTATCGTTAATTCCAAGCACATCATCTTTAAACTCTTGTTTACATTTTCTCAACACAGATTTGTTGTAAATATTTGGAGGTAGTTTGTCGCCAAAATCTATTGAGGAAACTGCGTTTCGTTGCCAATTACTAGCACAGGATTGTAACAACTCTTTTCCAATATCATACCTTTTTGTACCATTTAAGGCTCTTTTTGATGTATGTTTTGGCCATTTATTTCTTGTGTCTTGAGTCACAATAGTTATGATGAGAGGAAACCCTTCTTTGGGTTTTTTTTCAGCCCAACCAACTAACTTTGATAGACAGTCTTTGCATTTTCCTTCAAACTGTAAATAATATTTACTGCGATCAACAACTTTATTAACCCTGCAGTGTTTGTATGCAAACGAACAAGGAACTTTATAATTGTTTAAAAACGTATCGTTAATTATATTTGTCCATACACACTGTTTTAAAACTGTAAATTTCCTTTTTGTTTTTCCATAGCTCATTTCAACGGGTTTCATTTTTAGAAATTCTTGATATGGGACTTCAAATTTAAATGATTTTAAATTTTCATCATGATCAGTATTTTGATCTGCGTCTGAACTTTGAGCACTTCCGTCTATTTCTTCTTCGTCGATGTCAGAAGTATGTTGAAGCTTTGTGAATCCTAAGGTTTCCTTCAAAATTGTTTGCCAGGAATGACGATCTTGATAAATATTTATGTACAAAGTCTGGCCAGTAATTTTGCCATCAAACTGATCACTTATTTGTTTCCAAATAGGATTTGAATATGGCAACAACGCTTCATTTGAATCAAAAAGATCTTTTCCAACTTTTTTAAGATGTTCAAGCATAATACTGTAATCTAATCTTGGTTTCCTTCCACCTTTTGGAAGCTATAAAAAAAAAAAATTATAAAAAAATTCCTACTTTAGCTTTTTTACTGTTGAAGAATCGAATTTATAATATTGGTATTTTGAGTAAATTCTGTATTTAATAAAAAAACCCATATTTGTTAAAAAAAAAAACAATTAAAATGTTATTAACAATTAAGATGTTTGATAAAAAAATATTATATATATTATAAAAATGAGTAAAAAATGTATATTTGATTAAAATGTATATTTAATAAAAAAAAATCTATATACGATAAAGCAATTTATATTCAATATAGAAAATCTAATTTTTATAAAAAAAATCTATATTATATTATGATAAAAAATGTTTTTATTAATAAAACAATATAAACTGTGTTTTTGCTAAAAATTTGTATTTAATAAAAAAAAAATAGAACTAATTGTCTACTAAAAAAAATACAAAAAAAGGATTGGTAAGTGGGTGTCGCTCCGCTGTACATTATGTTACAGGTGAGTGGTGAGTCACTGTAAAGGATTGTGTTAAATTTGAATCCAATGATATAATATCATTGTATAAGAAAAACGATTCTGAGCGATGACGGTCTGTCAGCCTATGATATTACATTATTTTAAACCCCATTCAATTTAGATGCTGGACCGTTTGTAGCAAGTACTTCATCTACTAATAATATTGTTTCAGGTATTTTTTTTAAATAATTAACTAAGAGTAGTTAGCTCAAACTAATTAAATCTATAATGTACATCCCAAAAATTTAAATATTATACAATTTAAATGTATAATTAAAAAAACATCATTGATTGTGTTCTGTATTCACAGCGGCCATGTAGATATTATATAATGAATCAAGCAATGATAATATTTTAGACATAAATACTTTTGAATCAAGTGATAATCAAAATAACATTATTATTGATAATTTAAATGATCGGCCTACTGATGATATTTCAAATCTATCTATTAATTATAGAGGTAGGTAATGGTAACAAGAAAATTTAATAAATAAATAGTTAATTTAATAATATTGTTGATGTTACACAGATAATATTGTAAACGATAATATGATTTCAAAAATATTGGAAAATTTTGTTGCTATACATGCATATGTAAAACGACATGATGCAAGATTAGATAAAATTGAAAAATTATTACAGGAAAACTATAGTGGCTATAAATGTGAAAAGAATAACGTTTTTGATGATGATTTTATAGTACTATTTCCTATGATAGATATCGAGGCTATTACTAGTATTGATGATAAAATAAAAACTGACCCAACATTTGAATCTCAAATGGTAATATAATTTTTTTTTTTCAATTAATATAAATAAATATACATTGTTTGTATTATAAAGAGCTTTCATTAAGACAATTGGAGGAACTGATACAAAAAATTTTACGAAACGTGTATTGCATAGATTATTCACAAATGAATTGTCATCAAAATGTTCATGGACAGGCTTTAAATCAAATTTCAGATTAGAAAATTTAATGTTGATTGAGATTATGAAAGGTAATTGGATAATTGAATTACTTATTTAACAAATATTTCATAATACTGCATTCAAATAAGCACTTACTTAAATTAAAAGTAAATTAGTTTGTAACTGAATTTTTAACTTGTATGTAGGTAACTTACGAGTTATGGTTAGATCAAACAATTTGGTGGCTTCAAAATCCAATCCCTGATTATGAGATTGAGATACAAGAAGAAAATATTTTTATTAATTATCATATTATCAATGGTACCACCATAGGCCCAGGTTTTTTAATTTTATTTTCAACCCATTTGATAATTTTATACTCACTGAATAAATTAGTTCCATAAAAAAAAAATACTAATTGAAAGTGTAAACGAATCAAAAAATTTTGAATTTTGGCAGAAATAAATAATTTTATGAAAATGGGTACAATTGTACCCAGTCTCCCCAACTAGATCAAATATGCTTCCAAAAACATACATTGGACATCGAAGCTTATGATCATAGCATTTTTTCTACCAGAAAAGTTGAAAAGTTACAAACATTTTAAATTACCTCAAATATTATTAGACTAGACTAAATAAAAATAAAATTGTACCTAACTAATTTTCAAGCCCCCCCCCCATTGAAAAATCCTGCGTATGCCACTGCTGCCTATACCAACTTTGTTCAGAATCATGGTATTAGAATTTACTTATTAATGATACACAAACTGTGGTAATTTATTAAACATTTTCTGAATTACGTTCTTTTTCTACTTAAAATAGTGATTTTATCAATGAGAATTTTATTTTTTTGAAAATTGTTTGTAATACATTATTCAACAATAGTAATATACTTAAAAGTTGCAATAATTTAAATATAAAAACAATATTTTTTTAATAGACTTTATTCCAGCTATTTTCGATTTGTAAACACTGTGCGACGTTGCGTTACAAAATAATTGTAGACTAAAAAGGTTGAATTTTAAGATTATATTAATATACCAATTATATACCTAGAAATTATATATATAATCTATGGTTATATTAACTGATAAGTTATATGTGTGTGTGTGTGTGTGATAAAATTCATTGATAATGCCATTGGAAAAAACTAATAATAGCATGATGTATATTTAATCAATGTTATAAGCTATAAATATTATTATTTTATTGTTACTCTGTGGTAAGTGGTTGTATGATTCCATGAACTAACTAACACAGAATAAAATAGTATAATATTATCAATTATGTATAGTAGATACGTATAGTAAATCTTATTTTGTGATAAATGAAATATCAGCAAAATAAAATTATTAATTAATGTTTTCTGATTCTTGTCCACCTAGCGAAATATAATATATTATTATTTAGTATAGTACTACACTATGTGAAAATAAACATGTCAGCTTTAGACGAGTTTGATCCTCAACCAGCTGTCTTTAATTGGATAAACAAAAAAAAAAGACATTCTAAAATGCATACACATGCAAAAAAACAGGAATGGTATCAAGGGGTTTTTGAAGAAGTCAAAGAAAAATATAATTTAACAAATAATATTGAACTTGAAAAATTCAGTTTTAAATATAATTTTAGGTTATACTTTTAATTATTCTATACAGGTGACAGGTGTTATGTTCAATTTTCAAATAAATAAAAAAAAAATTTTAAATTATATTTTATTTTTAGAGAGGGAGAACTCATATTAAATTGTGTGAAATTATAAAATAGTGTAGTACGAAGTTTCATTTATTTTAGGCCCTGATATAGAATATAGATGGATAAAAAAACTAAAATTAATAAAAAATTATATTAAAACTAATCACCGCTCAGAATCTAAAACGTTTATCAGTACCTAGCATAATAATGAAAGAGAAAATCCAAGAGACCTGAAAGTCTGAATAGTGAACAGATGCTGTATAAATTAATTGATAAAATATTATATTATAATATTATACTCAACTTCAAATCTCAACATTTCAAATTACCTATATTTCATCCCGACGCGATCATGGAGCTAGTAGGTACTACAGGCGGAGCAATTTTACTTTGCTGAGATTTTGCGTTGATACACAATAATTAATCAATGATGTTTACTTTATTACGTATTTCAATAAAGAAATGTACTTACCTTCGTTTCCATTTCGTATGTGTTAATTATTATTTGTACTTATTATTATAAGCAATAAATTAACAATATAATAAAACTTAACATAAGGTTCAAAAAAGAAACACGATTCACAATTAAACACCAAGGTACTGTTTAGACATCGAATGCAGATACGACAATGGTATTGAAATATAATCAATGATAAAATAAAATAATTTTGACGAATTTCTATAAATACAATATTGAATATTTCCTTACTATCAATAATTTCAATACAACAATAATTAGTATAATGTATGTTATATTTAGATCACTGGCGGGCCCCTCCACACTACGGTAATTTAGCCATCGGGTTCGAACGATTTTACCGCCGCAGTTTTTACGATACGAACGGTTGAGTGGTGTCGCCGTCAGCGGTGTCGCGACGGCGGCAAAAGTCGATGAACGTCGCTGTGTATGTCGCGCTATATTTGAACACGTTTGATTTTCGTGAACGTAAAAACCACGGCGGTAAAGCCTTCAGACCCGACGGCCAAAATACCGCAGTTTGACTAGAGTATTTTATGTATGATATTAATTATTAATATATTATAGTCTATGATAATATCCACTAAAGACTTAACGCAGTGTCTAAAATGCCCCCGTACTCCACCCAACCGTAAGATTTGTGCACCAGTGCCCCACACCATCTAACATTCTGTCTAGGTTAGGTTATGTTATAGTCATGTATTTAGCCCAAGTGCTGAAGTCCCTAACAAATATTATTTGTGTTCCATAATCCTGTATAATATCTTAGTCCGTTATTAGATTTACATTTGTCGTGTTTATCTTATTAACAGTAACCACGATATGTGATGATACCAGAAGACATAAATTGTGTTAAAAAACACAGACTACAGAGTACAGAGTGTGATGCACACACGATGATTGAACACTGGTTGATCATGATCCGGTCGTAGTGTTGGTTTGGGTTGAGGTGGTAAAAAAACACAATACGTTTATTTCACTAATAATAATATTGTATTATTACAGCCAAATAATACACGGACATGAAGTTCGTGAAAGTGAAGAAGGTATAGTTAATACTATTTATAACATGGTCAAATCTTATATAGATATAAAAATATTATTGTAACCACACCCTCCTCCGTAAAAAAAGGCTTATGTACGTTACTCAAGCAGATTGAGTTAAAAATTATAACATTATGTTGTTTACAAATGGTATCCCGTCAATTGATCAAAAAACAATTGCTCGCAAACGACAATTGATCGAAGAATAATTGTTCGCAAAAAACAAATTGGTTGCTCAATAACGCGATAACCCGAATAAGTAATAATGTAATATTATAATCATAGACCTTTTAATAATAGACCAATGAAGACCCTAAATTTGCATTGCAATTAAGAATGTTACCGGCTTTAGCATTTGTACCTATAAGGATGATGTAATAAGTTCATACAGTGTTTTAATTGAAAGTAATTATTATACAGAAAATGAAGAAATATTAGAACAATTTTTAAACTATTTGCACTGATTATAATGATCTATTCATTCTAGATATCTACGTGGAATAGCCTATAATTTTCCTTTTTTTACCAATTTTATTTGACCTTTTTTTTAAAAAATATAAGATATCAATAAAATAACAATAATAATTTTTAGTTTTGCGAGCAATTGTTTTTCGATCAAAAGTTTTCGAGCAATTCTCGTGCGATCAATTGTTTTCGATCAATTGACATGTTGTGACAACTCGAGACATATTACTCATGGCTCGAGAGTCATGTGGTTACCCGACGGTTTGGGCAAGGCCACCAACCACGAGCCGAGACCTGAAGGGCCAGAGCGTCGTGGATTTCTTTTCTTTTCTTTTTTTTTTTACCATAGTAATATAATGATATTCTAAAAGGATGGACACATTAGTGACACAGTAATAATAATAATAATAAAAAACTCAATAGACAAAATAAGGTGTATAGAGCTTGTTATATTAAGTTGGTGCCGAGAAAGCTCAGACGGGCGTAATAATAACGGCAATAATAATAATAATAATTCGAATAGACGGTGATAATATGTATATATAAAAATGCATATTAATGCATATTGTACCGGCCAGATACATAAAAATAATAGTGATAATTAAAGACCGGATTTATATTCTCTTAAAATACCTAAAATATGATGCTAATATTCTCTGAAAAACCTTCAAATATTCTTATTATATTCTCTTAAAAATTCAAGAAATATGCTACAATATGCATAAAATAATATGCGAAAATAATCAATAAACATCATTATATGCTATAATATGCATTTAACAATTTTTTTTTTTCAACATTATTTTTATAGTGAGGTATTAATTAGGTATTAAAAGTTGCGTATTCTAATGGAGTACTATTGCACTTTAGTAAGAGTTGGAAATTATAAAAAAAAAAATGTTTAATGTTCAAAAAATGTTTTTCTGGGTATCAAAATATTAAAATTAAAAATAAATACAAATTTTTTTCCCACAATTTACGAAATATTCCAAAATATGCTAAATGGGTTAAATATTCTCTAACCCATGAAATATTCTCAAATATGCAAAAAAAACTTTTTTCTACGCATTCAGAATTGAATCCACATTTTTTACTCTCATAGGACTGCAATACTGCATAGACCAGGGATGGCCAACCCGCCTTGGAAAGTTTTGCGGCCCGCGACATTTATCAAATATTTACAAAAAAAATATTTTTGCGCTGATAGAATATTCTGGAATGCCCGTGCAACGCGGTATCTGTATTATTAACAACGTAATCGCAACAAAAGTAATAATTCTATAATAATAAGTAATGATGAATGGTTATTACATTTATGCTTTTTAGTGGATATTGTCGAAAAACTGAACCAATTAAATATATCATTACAGGGAAAAGATAATAATAACGTTCAACACTTTCCATTGCTAAAAGAATTGAAAAATTCTAAACATATCGATAGCATTAAATATGCACAAGAAATAAGGAAACTTATAGCTGCTTTTGAAAGTCGTTTTACTAATTTAGACAAATACAAGACAATATTAGAAATATATTCATCTCCTTTTCATACTGATGTCAATTCGGCCCCAGAATATCTTCAGATGGAACTCATTGACTTACAATGCAATAATGAATTAAAACTCATTTTTGAAACATCAAAATCAAAAATAGATTTTTATAATATTAATATCACAAAAGAACATTTTCCCAATTTGAGAAATCTGTCACAAAAAGTTGTGAGTGCTTTTGGATCGACTTACACGTGTTAATCGTTTTTTTTCGAAAATTAAATTCGCCAAAGATAAATCACGCACAAACCTAACAGATGAAAACCTGCTACATCAATTACGGTGTGCAAATACAAGCATTTCTATTGATTTGAAAAAGCTTAGTGAACGAGTTGAGAAACAAATATCTAACTGAATAGTAATGTTTTTTGTATTCAATACTTTTATTATAATACGTTTATATATTTTAATTTTTTTTAAATACTTTTATATTTTTATATGTGGCCTAATTTTCAATAAAATATGTGATTATTTATATTAATATTTTTTAATATTTTGGCTGATGACCTTTTTTTTTTTTTTTTTTTTGGCAACCCTATAACTTCAAAAATAGATTTGCTATTATTTGCTAACTACCAGCGCCAAAATATACCCAGGCCAAAATTTACGTATGTACAAAATATACCCGGGCCGCAATTTGCATAAAAAATAAAGAATGGGATGCAATTTACAGCGACCCCTCATACGCATAGGTACAAACCGTTAGTTTATATTTTAAAACCAGTTTAGAGTTTCTGTGTTTTTGAACGACCAGGCGCAAAACTTTGAAAGCTCGCCCTGGCCAATGAACTTACTTGCAAACTCTGATAATGGACTTGCAAACTCTTGCTAACTGTAGGAAATGTTTTAATACCGGTTTGGAGTTTCAGGGTTGACTTTGAAGGGCCGGGCACAAAACTTTGAAAGCTCGCCCTGGCCAATGAACTTACTTGCAAACTCTGATAATGGACTTGCAAACTCTTGCTAACTGTAGGAAATGTTTTAATACCGGTTTGGAGTTTCTGGGTTGACTTTGAAGGGCCGGGCACAAAACTTTGAAAGCTCGCCCTGGCCGAATACCTTTCTTGCAAACTCTGATAATGGACTTGCAAACTCTTGCTAACTGTAGGAAATGTTTTAATACCGGTTTGGAGTTTCTGGGTTGACTTTGAAGGGCTGCGTGAAGTTGGCCCTGCAGTATCATTATTTCCGATAACTTCCATAATTTTAATTTGAAAATTCTAAAAATAGTCTTGCAAATTCTTGCAAACTACTTGCTAACTCTGAGCATAAGTTTCAGAATGTTTTAGCATAGTTGAAGGGCCAACTTCACGTACGTGACTATTGTTGCGTCCCAACTGACGTCGATTTATACATCAACGTGGAAATGAATTCAAACTCTTCTAGGTTTATTAATCGTAAACTTTTATTTAATATATCACTGGTTATTGGTTTAGTTTCTATACGTTCATTAAGTATTTCTTCATTAAATAAATCTAATTCTTCGTCTAAATTATTTATTTCTATGTTGTCAACTATTTCGCTATCAGTATTGTTTACGTCAATTTCTAAATTACTTTCGTTTTCGATTATTTCAATTATTCTATCTAACGTTTCTCTAGCTATCGTTTTAAATTCGTCATTAATATTTCCTTCTGAACTATTGTTCATTAATATTTTATTATTATAATTTATTTTTTTTTACTCTAATCCTTTAATTATAATCTCAGTAATATTTAATGTTTAATTTTATTATTATAATCTCATTTAATATAATCTTAATTGACTTATTATTTTTATTCGATTTGGGTTTTAAATTCGGCTGGGGCTTCTACTCGGGCTGGCGGGCTTTAAACATGGGCTAGGGACTTTAAAACATGGGCTACAAAATCTACACGTGTTCTATACAATGGAGTAGCTAATTCCAAGGGAGTTGTACTTAAATAATAAGATGAACTCAAAAATATGGCCTCAATAATTAACAATAAATATAATCTCAATAATAATCTCAATAATGCCCTGTAATAATTCACAATAATTCTCAAAATAATATAAAATACCCTTAATAATTCATAATAATAACTTCTCAATAAATGCCCTTTAATAATTCACAATATAATCTTCAATAATTGCCCTTCAATAATAATCAATAAATGCCCTTTAATAACTTCAATAATATCTTTAAAAATTGCCCCTTAAATAACTTTTTATAATATGGCCTTCAATAATATTTTAATAATTTTCCCTAAATACGATGGACCAATAGACCAAAGGAGACGGTTATATAAATTATGCTTACAACATTGCTGTATTCATCTCGTTGCTTGATCTCTCTCGCCGTAGTTGGATTGTAACAAACGTTCGGTCTTCCCAGAGTCGTTGAATTGAAGCGTGCACTCCTCAGCTCAACGGTGATCCACGAAGGTGAAGTTGCCTCTGTTGATTGAAGTTGATCCAAAATATTTCGACAAATATTGTTGAATGTTCCTTGTATCTTGGAAGACCCTGTCCACAGCGCCAAAATTCTGTTGCGTCCCAACTGACGTCGATTTATACATCAACGTGGAAATGAATACTTGATCCAATAGGTTATTATGAGTATTTATTTAAGTACAAAATTACAATGTATATAAGCTATGGTGGAGATGTGAGCGGTGTTATGACCTGACTCCAAATGTCTTGAGTATCCCTAACCGTCTGCCGAGCTCTTGTCCCGGGCTGGTATTTATATGATCGAGTCCTTTGGAGTGGGTGGTTGTATCAATGGCCAAATTCGGTCATGAGACTGCGTCCGGGTCTCGTACTTGGTATGCTGGTCGACTCGTATCCTTCGTATGAATGTTTGGCTTTCCTAGAGAGATACTTTTACAGTGTCCCTAACGTGTTATAATATACTAATTGCCTTATTAATTATATCGTCGAGTACTATTAGAAACCTGCGCTACGTCGTACATTGTTATTACTTAATTACTAAATACGTAGGTACGTAACACCTCCCTTCAAAAAAAAAGACTTTATGTTTAAAAGCTTAAACATAAATCTTTAACATTTTATGGTATTATAACAATTTTACATATATGATACATTGGTTATAAGATAGTGATACACTGTTATATGAAGTAGTGATACTTTGTTACATTTAGAAATTTAGTACATCTGATTATAAAATAGTGATACATTGGGTTAAGCACATAATAATTATTGTTAGATAATAATACATTTTTTTTTTGTTTTGTTTTGTTTTGTTTTACATTTTCCTTCTTATTCTAGTGTTAGTACATGGTGGCTACATATTTGTGGTTAAAAATACTTAATCTATTACAATTAGACAATTAGACATATTTTATATATTCGTCCTATAATCTATTGGTCTTATATATGTTTTAAACTTTTATTTGAAAGCTTAATTACTTTACTAGATTATGTCCATTCAAATGTGTAGAATCTTATCAACCCTCTGATTCCCAGTTATAGGTATAGTCTACACTATTGTATTTTCACTCTTTAATTAGTAATTACTAGATTATTTATTCACTTGTTGTCACTGTAAAAATATATAATTAATTGTATTTGTGAGATAATTTTATTCGGATAATAATATTACATTATGAGATATTAGTTCTACTTTACATATTAATAATTTATTCCTTTGTATTAATTTTATTCAGCTGCCTCGGCGGCTTGTATTAGTTCGGTTATTAAATTTGCCAATTGGAGGCATGTGGGTGCGTGTATTTCGCGTACTAAAATTGTTAAACGTAGAGTCATAGTGATTATCTCCATAATTCTATTCATCTCAGCTGTAGTATATGGTACAGGTAAATGTTCATTGGCTATTCTCATATGGTTTCTTAGACACGTAGGTCCTTCACCGTTTATTATGTACTGGTTTACGTGATCGTTGTGCCTCAACGAGTATTCTAACATCATTAGGTATAATACCCGTCTAGAAATAAATTCTCGTGTTGGCATTTTGCATATGTATTTTATACGGTGTTTATAGGTTACGCGTTGTGGATTAAAATAATCTTTAGGTTCCGTGTGATTGTCTTATCTGGAAACAAGACAAGATACTAATGTCGATTTTGGTTAATTAAGTTGTTATAAATTGATCAAATGAAATTTCGTTTAGCATTTATAAATCTTCCGTTTTTAGCACTAAAATTAAATATGTTATTTTAAATTATCCTCGCTTAATAGCGTTTTATTTAATTCATTGTTTATACTTATTAATTATGATTATGATTATAATTATTTATTTATTATATATATTTTTTTTTTTATTATTATTTACATACATGTTAATTATTTTTTTCTATACATATGACTACTCTTTTTAACTCAGATTCTCGTGGAACCTTTTTACGTGGTTTTTATGCACCGTAACGTGTCTTTTCCCGCGCATTATTACAATATTTTCCTTGTCCATACATCGGTTACTTCATAGGGGCCTGTCCATAATGGATTTAGTTTATTCTTTTGCGCGCGTTCCCTTAATAAAATTTGATCTTTTACGTGTATTTCTATAGGGTTTTTATTGCTATCATAATTCTCTTTGGATTTTATTTTACATTTTATTAGCCTTTCTCTTGCTATTTTATGAGCCTCCTGCATTTTCTGTTTTAAATCAAAATAGTAATTGTCATAATTATATCTAGGTTCAGGTTCTCGTGATAGCTTAATTGGTATCTCTAAATGTTTACCGTATAGTAGAGAATATGGTTGATAACCCGTTGATGTGTGCTCCGTAGTATTATAAACGAAAAATGCGTAGGGCAAGTACTCATCCCAATTGTTTAATTTCTTATCGACATAATGTCTAAGGTAGTCTGATAATGTCCTATGTGATCTCTCCAAGGCTCCATTGGCCTCCGGGCGATAAGAACTTGTGTTTATCTTATTTATTTGCGATAATTTGCATACCTCGGTAAATATTTTACTTAAGAAATCGGTTCCCTGATCGGTTAATATGGTTTGTGGTATACCGTGTGTGCATACAAAATGTGTTACGAATGCTTCGGCTATAGTATTAGCTTGGTGATTTGGGAGGGGAACGCCCATGGTGTATTTTGTTAAATCGCATTGAATTGTTAATATATATGTATTCCCTGCTAATGTAGTGACCAACGGGCCAACGATATCTAAACATATTTTTTCAAATGGCTCAAAACTAGTGGTCGTAATTACCATCGGTTGTTTTACCTTTTTATTCGTGACCTTTTTCTTTTGACATGATGCACAATTTTTTATATATTCGATTACATCTTGTTTTAAACCTCGCCAATTAAATTGCGTTTTTATTTTCTTTATGGTTCTATGTATTCCGACGTGTCCGCCGGTTACGGAGTCGTGACATTGTTTGAATATGATTAATTTTTCCTCATCACTAAATTCTAACTTGGAACAAATAATTATGTCTACTCCTGTGTTTCGGAAAACATATCGAATCATAGCACGTACTTGAGCCCATTCTAATCTTTCGTTAAAACCTAATTTATTCATAGCTAATTTATTCAATGATTGTTCCTCACATAATAGTTTTAAATTTAATAGAGACAGATAAATGTTTTCATACGTAGCTTTTTGTTTGTTTTTACTTTTGGTGGTTAAGAATATTATATATCTATCTTTATCCCGTAAATAATTTACTTCCCCGATTGCTACTAGGTGTTAATTTCTGACCGTTGCCAAATTTTTGTTTTATTTCGTAATTTATTCCTGACATAAAATTATAATGTTTTTCTATCTCCGAGACTATGTGATATTCCTCGGGTGCTTCTATTAGACTACCGTTTACTTCTTTTACGTGTTTATTAGTTATTAACTGTGTTTCGAATTTATTTAAAAATGCGGGATAGCTTTCCTCTTTTATCTCATTTATGGTATACATTCTGGTCAGAGCATCGACGTTTGAATTTAATATTCCAGGCTTATAGCGAATCTCATAATCGTACTCTTCTAAAAGTATTCGCCAACGTGCGAGTTTAGATAGCGGGTCCTTTAAATTGAATAGCCATGAAAGTGCGCGGTGGTCGCTCATTATAATAAATTTTCTTCCATATAGATAAGGTCTAAATGTTTTTACTGCGAATATTATAGCTAGACACTCAAGTTCAGTGGTGCTATAATTGTTTTCGCTTTTGTTTAAAGTTCTTGATATATAAGCAATAGGTAAGTCCCGTGATACTTCCCCTTGAGATAATATGGCACCTAGAGCTTTCCCGCTCGCGTCTGTTGTAACGATAAATGGTTTTGTGAAATCTGGATATTGTAATATAGGTTCCGAACATAGGATGTTCTTTAATTTATCAAATGCTTCTTGGCAAGAAGTGTCCCAATTAAAGGTAATGCCCTTTCTTAATAGATTTGTCATTGGTTTTGCTATTAAACTATATGATTTTATAAACTTCCTATAATAACCAGAAAGTCCCAAGAATGATTTAATTTCTTTTACGTTTGTTGGTGCCGGGAACTGTAATACTGACTCGACCTTTGCTGGATCCGGCTGTATGCCGTTTTCACTGATTATATGACCTAAATACATGCACTGTTGTTTTAAGAATTCGCATTTTGCTGGTTGTATTTTTAAATTATGATTTCGTAGTCGTTCAAATACGTCTCGTAATTTTTCGTTATGATCAAGTAAACCTTTGCCGTATATTATTATGTCG